TCTGATTGTTTGCATGTCGCATTCGCTCTACAATGGGTACTGGGGAATGTGGGAAAGAAAGATTAAACATGCACGCAGAACATACAACATTTTAAGTGGACTATCAACGTATTGTGGATTCAATCTAGAGTCCACCGTGTTTCCAAATAATTTATAACTTTACAACTTGATTTCGTCCGGAAATACGGATTATAAATAAGTTTTTAAAAATAGAATACTACAGACAAATGCTGTCTGTAGTACTGTACTACTGTAACTACGGCCCGCATATACTACACTACAGTAAACGCGGGCCGTAGTTAAAATAATTTTCAAATAAGTTTAATTAATATATATCGCGTTAAAAAATTAAGAAGTTTAATTTACATAGAAGAAGTCACCATAAGGCTTTTTATATATAGTCAAATATAATAATAATGTGGATAACATTTTTGAAAACGAAAGATGTATTATGTTAGTTTCTTTTATGATGAAAGGTAAAATACCCTATCTATATACATATAACATCTCAACTACGTTGCCGACCTATTGTCGCGTGCATTATTAAATCTATAGAGTCAAACCAAAACGTGATAAAAGTTCACGTCTATTTCATCTGTCAACAGACTGTATATTTTGTAAATTTGTTTTATAAGCGCTCACATTATAGAAAAAACGTATAATTTACTTGGAAAGTTATCGCGTCGAATCCTGCTTTCAATTTTACATTTCACAACCGGTCGTCCTTACCTTGATCAAGACTCGTTAAAACTAGGAAATTTCGAAAGAATAGTCTCACGAACTTAACGAGAAATATTAAGAAAACTGTTAATTAAAGCAACTAAATAAGTTACGTGGTGTCGCAATGCAGTTACAACTTGTTTCAGACATTGAGCTTAAATTGTCGTATTCCTTTGTCTATCTTAAGTTATTCGTCAGTGATGGCGTGTTATAAGTTAAGTTTAAATGGCTAGGTAACATTAAATAAAATTTTAACGTTTAAAAACTTTAATTTTTTTCACATGATGGCACCATATACAACAAAGATCGATTATAAATTACGACTCGATTACGACAATAAAAATCGACGAAGACCTGTAGGAACACGGTAGCTCGATTGATTAGAGCAACAGCACGAAACGCTGTGGACGCCGGTTCAAATCCTGCCCGTGTTGTAATTTTTTTAACTTCATAATCGATTTTAACGGTTTGAAACGCGAAATGTAAGTTAGTGCATTTTTTATGTAATTCGAGTTTTAATAACAAATCTGTTTTATTTATCATTAAAACCAGGAAAAGAGAAATCCATCTATTATTATGATACTAACTGTTTGATACGTTAAATATATTAGTTTATTAGGGATGGTTAAATGTTTTACTTAATCTACACCATTCGCGTAAGATTTATCGATAAAAGTGAAAGCTATCATCGTCATTAGAAAAGGTAAAATTTAAATGTCATTATTTTTCAAATTTCTTCAAAGTTGTAAGGGTAACTTGAAGTAGGTAAGGTATGCTTAAATTTATAGGGTTGATAAAAACTAGTCTTCGCAGACGAAGTCGCTAACACAGCTAGTATTTATTTTATGTATGAGTAATTACGTGCCAGATTGTACTTCTGCTACATTTAAGTTATTTGATCACTTCAACAGAGAAATCTAATATCCGACGTAACTTGAAACCCGCGGGATTCAGTTTTTCACTTGAAGCATGCAGACACAGTTTTTATGTAGGTCAAAAGAATATATGTAAAAGTGAAATCCCGTTTCCGTAGTTGATCAGACTTCTGTGCCCTACCCGACCGAAACAATTTTTTGTTTCCCTGGGATTCGAACCGTTTAACCATTTGGCTTCAGAGGCGGAAAGAATATATGTAGGTATGTTCTTATTATTTTAATTTGAATAAAATAACGTAAATAGTTTAAAACACAAAATATATCAACTTATTATTTACTATGATCGGACACCTGTGGTTCCCCGTAAGTGTGATTTAATTAAAAAAAAAACTTGTATGACATATTTGTTTGATGATAGTAGTGGTTTGGGTATGTATGTAACTGCCCTAAGTAATTTGCAACGAAGTTTATAAGAATCCATGCTATGTAGGACAACGATCTGACTGAAGGAAATAAGTAATAAAAAGAAACATTTACATACTTCAAATATAGTGACATTAGCTATAAATGTTCATACTAGAAAAAAAAATAGTCTTTTCGTGTTATCCAATCTATAAGGTTTTAAGATTTTAGAATATATTTTATGTTTAGTAACATTCAAAATTGTCTTCACAATGTTTCAGAAATTATAAACATGTTCAAAGTATAATACTTACTAATATTATAAATGCGAAAGTAACTCTGTCTGTCTGTCTGTCTGTTACTCTTTCACGCCAAAACTACTGAACGGATTTGAATGAAATTTGGTATACATATGGTCTAGACCCTGAGAAAGAACATAGGCTGCTAAAAAGGGGTTGTAAGGGGTTAAAAGGGGGGTGAATGTTTGTATGGATATTCGTGGTTTTTGAAGCTAGAACAATGAAACTTTCTTCTTTGGCTTTTTCGGAATAGGGGTGGGAGTGGGAGTGGGACTGAGAGTGAGAGTGCGGCAAAGTAGCACTTAGCTACAACATAGATTGGCTGCGATAAAAGCGCAATTGCATAAATTAAAAAAACGGCCTAAATAATTAAAAATTCTACCCCAAATCAGTATTCCACGCAAACGAAGTCGCGGGCACAGCTAGTTTAATATGTATTTTACATAAACAAGACTATATTAGAAATAATAATAATTCGTTTCGAATTTTAAAAGTTTTTTTTTATATCCGCTTTTAAACCAGCCAGTGCACTATAAAAACTTGGAATTAAGTACTTAACTGAGTTAAAAATTGTGTTTCTCAATTGAATTATCTATGAAAACTTTAAAACTCCATTATAGATTTTTAATAATGTTCGACACTGGCCGCACTTGAACCGGCATCTACAGCGTTCCGAACCCATTGTGAATAGTTTCTCTAAATTCGACTTTAGTAATTTTGACCAACGAGCAACCTTTCTTCATTCTATAAAAAGGTCGCACGTTTATGGGCAGTTAACAACTCAAATACCATTAAATTACGTAAAAAGAAATTGCCAGTTTTCACATGACATGGTTAAATATTTCACTTCTCAGCTTTAACGTTACGTATTTTAAACGTGAATAGTCAATTTCACCAAGACATCGCGAAAGATATGGAGGATTCAATTAATATCTAGTGAGAGACGGAAAAATAGATAAACAGTGTATGGCTAATGACCAATGGGTCGTGGATTCGATCCCCATCAGGTCCAACATGTTTCAAATTTTTCAATTTATACATGCAGGACTCTGGTAATGTATAATGAAAAACCCGTGAGGCTTAATTGCGTTTCGGTTTCGGTTTGTGGATTTCCGAATATCCAAAGTCAAAAATAGGACGACAGCGCATCTAAACAAGATGTTTAGATAATGAACTATAGGCTGGGCTATGTCACCTACCATCAAGTGAAAGAGCCATATCTGTCCTTCTTTATCATAAAAAAAAAATAAAAAAAACGGAAAGAAAGACAGCAAAGTTTCGGCAATAGGGTTTCTTTGTGGCTACGGACCACTATGAAACGCAAAATGAAATACGAAATAACAATAACGATTATGATGATATAATACTCCGCACGGTACAAGGTTAAGAGAAGGTATTTAACCTTTAAGAATGTTAATGGCAATTCAAATGATACTTTATTTAGAATACCAAAAAAAACCTGAAATTGTTTTCTTAGAAAACTTACTTATATACGGAAGAGACTGTACAAGATATATGTATATAAAAACATTACAAAAAGGCACTTGTGATCACTTTTATACGATTAAACTTAACCACGGCCCGACGTTTTGAATGCTGGTGCCGTTGGATGGTGATCCTAATGAAAAGTCTGCTACCTAAAAATCGAAATTTTCTACCCTAACGCCATCTGTTGTTCCTCCGTGAACAACTGTTGCAATGCATCCAAAACGTCGGGTCATAGTAAAAATAAGTTAACCAATAGGTATTATGTGTGTATTTAATTTAATGTGTACAAATCGTGTAAACCAAAGACAACGCTCAACACTTTTTTTTTAAATTTAACTTTTCACATTTTACCGTTATGCTAGGGATGTCTAGCTTCACTGACGTAGGTATTTGACATAAAAATGTCCGTTTTTAATTGCTTTAGGTTAGGTAAGGGACCAGTACAAAAGAGTTCAACGCACACCTCCATTGTCCATATTCGGTGATGTGGAACAAAAGTTGACGACCTTTTGTTTCCAATCAAAAAATGTAATTCCACTTTCTTGTAATTAGGGTAGTGGCACATACGTCTGTCTATTTCTACAATCGAATTCGTCTACAAGCATGTAGTTATACTCATCTGAAAGCAGTACGAAATTAAACTAATACCTAAATAGTTTCGTAAATACTTAATTCTTTGGGATTTTAATCCAATAATGCAGAAATGCTTTATGCAATGAGCCATTTCAATTTGAACTTATTAAATGAATCGTCATTTTATACATAGTTCCTTTGTAAGAAACAATCGAATGAAATTGTCAAAGACGAAATTAATTCACTTCTATTATTGCCGGATCTAAATTCTAAGAATAAATAACAAATTATTAACATTTTAAAGTAGCATAGAACTTTACTACTAAGACACTCGACTATCAAAGAATATATATCCGGAATTATATTAATAAATCACATTCACTAATGTGTAGAATTTACTTAACATAACGAGCTTTTAATGTTTGCACTTTCTACTTAATTTTATAGCATAATCAACAATGCTTAAGTAACAACTTGTGTTACAAGTAGATAATCTTTGTAGTTGCAGAAAACGTTTGCTTAGTATCTCCTAACTTAGGATACACTTTATTACTTAAACTTCAAAACACCAATGACGTGTCGCGCCTAGATACATAATTGTCGAATGCAGATGTATTCGAGAGCTGTAAGCATATGAACTCACTTATCGAGAACGATGAGACTCTTAACACGGAAGCACCAGCTATGTAGGACACTACACTAGAGATCACAACACAAAATCACTAACACGAAATCGCTTCTCGACTGTTCTTGTTAAAGATCAGTGAGGTTTTATATTAGCACATATGGTATTGTAAATCCATTTTGTTCGAGGCATAGCCCCGTTCGAATGCTACTGGGTTGAATGCGGACTGTGAAGTGTGCGCGAGCGCAACCTGCCCGCGCCCACGCGTGACGTCACTCTGGTATTCAAAATGGCGGCGTTCGAGAGCCTACATTCAGTTTAGTCGCGGAGGCGGACGTTATGGACGTTATTCGGACGCATTGTAAACGATTATTATTGTTTTTGTTTTTACTCTTTTTTGATTGTAACTGTAATTATTGCGGTATATTTTTCTTGTCAACTACAAGGAAGGGACACAATATATATATATATCTTTTTTCAAATGACCAAAGCCAAAATAAGTCAGCACATCTTGTTTAGATGTTAAATGGCTCAGGTCATCCTCGAATTAAATAAAGTACAAGTTAAATGTAAAATTGCATGTTTAGAAAGTTACACCTCTTTTTATGACAAAATAGAAATCAGCCTGTAAATAAAATCCATAAGATACTGTCTGTAATTTACGAGTAGTACACGTTTAAATATAACAATTTTAACGGTTTAAGACGTGACATGTATTAGTTAAACTTATGAAGTACTGTAAAGTATGAAAACTTAAATATATCAATAAAAAATCGATTTTATAATTAAAAAAATACGACACGAACAGGACTTGAACCGGCATTTACAGCATTCCGTGCTAATGCTCTAACCAATTGAGCTACCGTGTCCTTAGGATATACTGCAAAGCATAGAAAACCTCGGGCTGTTGTAAAACAAAATGTTAATAAGATTAACTAATACAAAGCGCTTTGAAGTCTTTAGAAGTATTTTTTTTAAATAAAATCGATCAGACACACACGGGAAAAAGGATGACAAAGAGCGCCATGTTTGTTGTAATATTTTACAATATCAACTTAATTTTTAACGAAATATTCTAACATATTCGTCTAGCGCGCTTGGAACTAATCGCATTAAATGTGGCGCGACGACTAAGCCCCCGGGCCCGGGCGGTGCATCGCGAAGCTAAAGGTAATTTTTAAACTAAAAACATTTTTAAAATTAAGATGATTTATGTATTTGGTAAGTCTATTTAATGCTAAAGACCATTTAAACGTTTGAATACTTTTATATTTTCACACGTTATTGCACATGATATAAAATAATCAATTGAGCTACCATGTCCTTCTTTAGAAGGTTTAGTTAAGGGCAGGACTTGAACCGGCATCGACAGCGTTCCGTGCTATTGCTGTAACCAAGTGAAAATGTAAGTATAATTTTTTTCGGTATCTCTATCGTTTAAAAGACAATGTTATTATCACTAAGCATTGTCTAGCGTTTAGCGTTACATGAAAAAAAATAATCAAACCGCCGGAATTTTCTTTGTAAATTTGTTTTTTTTTTCTCACACTTACATAACATTACTGATCTGTCCAATAGTTCTTTTTTATGATAAAAGAGGACAGACAAGGATGGGTTCCACTTGATGGAAGGAAAATACCCCAGCCTTATAGCATCTCAACGAGACGCGCTGTCGACCTGTATTTTGACTTTGAATATTCGAAGACCCACAGATTCAATCGGAAACGCGATTAAGTTTTATTGCTTTTTCACTGTGGCGGTGGTTGTCTATCCGAACGGAATTCTGATATTCCTACCACCCTTTTATTATACAGATTACCAGATGAAGTCGAACATGTTTTAAGAATTATAAATTAATTAGCAGGGTTTCGTACACGGTGTGTGTGAAATCCCGTTTGAATTACAAAACATTGATTTTATTTACAGGCAAGTAGTTGATCAGACTTCTGTGTCCTGACCGACCGAAACAATCTATTGTTTCCCTGGGATTCGAACCCAGGACCTCCGCTTTACGCACTGCTAGGCAACACGTTTAACCATTTAGCTACAGAGGCGGTCTCAGTTGAGTATACAGTAGGAATCGAATGAACCATCCGTTGATTATAAGAAATACATTGCTACCAGTAGATCAACAAGCTCGTCAACCTTTATATTAAATGGTATTGTACGAGTTGCAAGGAAAGACTCCCATAAATCATACTTCCTCACTGTTCCCGAGTAGATAAAACGCTGACCCCAAACCGAATCGTAAAAATAATTCGCTAAGCCTCAATTAACTTTGGGACAAGGAGAAAATTGGATTTCCACCGACGTTTTTCATAAAATGGTAATTGATAAAGGGTGGGATTTTCCATTTCATTTATAAGCAGTTCGAGTTGACGTTTGCCAGGTTTAAGCTAAACAAAACCTCAGGGTTCAAAGGACTTATACATACAATAATAATCTCCCGTGTTAATAATTAGGAAATTACCCAATTACCAATTTTAACGCTAGCTTAGTACTTCTGAAGTAATTGCCAGCAATATATATTTTTTACTAAAATAATTTTCTCAATAAAACATTAAAGGAAATGACTTTTGGTCGATTTAACACATATAGCAAATAAGCAATAGTTGCGTGTCTGTACGTTTTATGTTAACCTCAAAACATGTAGTTTAGTAGCGTAGTACATAGTTAAATAAAACAATTTAACGGTTTAAAACGTACTATATATTAATACATTTTTATTTATTACAGTACTTTACTACAGCATGACGTTCCGGATATTATCCAGCAGTTACACAAGGCTACAATAAAGTTTGCATTTTAAACCATTAAGTGTTTTATACAAATTAATACATGTATTTATTACCTTTTCTCATCAACACTTAATTTGCATTTTTTGAACATTATATACAAACAGACAGACAGGAGATACTTTTTTTTGTATATTACAGCAATTCTTCTGACAATACAGAAGAACGACGCCCGTTTTAACATAGCATAGATTTGTAACTTCAATGGACGTACTAAAAACATGGAGCGGAGTCAGCTACACGGGAAGTACGGAGTAATAAGAAAGGGTTACCTGGTGAATGTTCGCCGTTAAAGGTGACTCGTACAGTATGCGGACGAAGAACTCTTGGCGTGAAAGCAGCTACGTATCGATTACCACCAAGTGATCGGACGGAACTGGCAACCAAGGTTCCGTTGCCACCGGAAACTTCTAGTTCCAGCTGTCCTGGGCCTGCTGCGCTAGCATCCACTGTCAAAGACAATATACGAATAATATATGAGGCAGCTAGAGGCAGAGTGGCCTATTACCTAATATCAAAAAGCATGCTTTTTAAAAAGAAGGAAAATAAACATGCTTGTATTTGTTTAAGAATTATGTTAGCAATTTTCGGTTACTATGCTCTTGTAGATAAACATGTTTAGACTATGAAAATATAAATAAGTCACGTCATAAAATTGCAGTTAGGCTACTCTGCCTCCAGCGGCCTCAAATCGAGTATTATCTATATGAAAGTAGTTAATATTAAAATAAAACGGTTTAAAACGCGATTATTAGTTAACTTTAACTACGGCCGGATTTTGAATATCTTGCTTGGCTGAGTTAATAAGCTAATTAAAATATTTCGTGTTTTAAACCGTTAACGTTGTTCTTCTTACAAAGCTATACAAATCTCTTGACAAGTACTTATTAAAATAAAACACTTTAACGGTATAAAACGCGATATATATTATAAATAATTTTCAATTTAGTTTAACTGATATATGTCGCGTTTGAAAGTGTTTTATTTAAATGTGTACTACTCGCGTAAACTACAGACTATCTAAGTTCTTATTAATTAAAGAATTTAGAACAGAACGTCGGGCCTTGTAATTCAATCATATAATTACCTATAAACTCAACAGGTTGCCCCACGATTCCTTTATAGGCTGGTTTTATTTCTATACCTTTGGCACCTCTATTGTTTTCCCTTTGAATGGGTCTGTAACAGATTAATTAAATTTATATTACGTAACTAAGAGACAAAACGAACTAGCGTTTTTCAAACGTCGAGGCAGTGTTTTACGCGAACATAGTATAGTCGATAACAATCCACAAATAAGTATTTTTATATTATATATCTAAAACTTAAAGTTTCATATAATTTACAAAATAATATTTGTCTGTGGACTTCTTTCAGGAAAGCGATTACTGAATACTGTATTGTGTGCATATAAGAAATAATAAAAAGTATGAAAGATAATAACTATGATTATTTAATGCCAATACTAATCTCAGGAACAAATTAAAACAATCTTTTTTGTGTTGGTTAGAGCATTTATTGATGAAGGAAGTAGCGGGAAATGTGTGAAAACGGGGAAAATTATTCATCTCAGTGGGTTTCCGATGGGTACGCTGCGACAACGGTTCAAAATACCCAAAAAATATGTACGAGAAAATGATTCCTCTTTAAATAATCTATAAAATGTTCGCGACACTACGTTTCTATTGTTTAACGAGATTTCACTATTTTGGCTAGCAATACGTCGCTACCATTTCACCAATGAGTCCGTGGAACACTTTTATCGGCCTTACACGTGAACCAATTTATTTTGAAGGATGACAAAACGATCGTAGATGCAAGATAAATGTTTCGTTTCCGTCCGCATGTGAGGTTTGCCGAGCGTTTCATAAATTGTAAATAAATACTGTACCTCTACACAACAGTAGCAGATTCAATTTCGATAACAATACATTTCTTGCATGAGTTGCTTTAGATAATTTCCAACTCGTTGATGGGTGAACATGTTCATTCGAAATATTCCCAGTTACATTTCAGTATTACAGATATCTTTACTATAATTAATGCTTAAATTTCCTTTTATTTATTAGTTGACTTATTTTTAATTTATTCTATCTAACGGCCCGAAGTTTCAGATGATTTGCAGCAGCTTTAGATAACGAATATATTTCGCGTTTTCAACCGTTAAAACAGTTTTATGTCAATGATTATATTTTATGTATTGGCGTTAAATATTTATATAAGTATTGTTAATTCCTTTTATGCTCACAACACAATGTTAAGACGTAACTTAAAAGGAAAGTGATGATTACTTACAATAGAATAAGTTAAAGCATAGCACAATGCTTAGATATGGCTATGTAAACTTATATGAAGTACGCTGATGGTCGTCAATTCGAGTCCCGTTTGTATCATACATTTATTTTTTATTTAATTATTTCAAATTATGCAATGCACTTATTAGATTTATACTATTTAATAGACATACGAACCTAAAACGGATGTGAGCTGCATCCGTTTCAGAAGGGGCCCCCCCGTTTGGGTCACGGGGGGGCCTATTGGATAAAAAAGACTGCTGTTCTTGACGTTTCTCCTCGACACTGCTGTACGAGGAGTCGCGAACCACGTACGAACTCTCGCGCACTTCACGCTTAAATTCTTGCTGTATCAAAAATAAAGTTAACTAAAAACTTTGATGCTTTTTACTGATGGATGAGGGCAGACTTGAAATGGTGAAATAGCACCCCAGCATCTAAACAAGATACGATGTCGACGTAATTGAATTTGGATATTCAGCTTGTTGGACATGGTAGCTCAATAGCTATGATCGTCGTCTTGGAGTCGGTCCTGCCAATTTTGTCGATTTGTTTTAACCTTAAATTAATTAAGCTATATTAAATACTAATTAAATATTATATAGCAGCTAAATAGTAGCTACCTAGCAAATACCTGACATGTTGTTTTAAACGCTAGAAGTCTTGGGTTCGAATCTCAAAGAAACAATAGATCGGTCGGGTAGCGTACAGAAGACTGATCAATTATTTGCCTGTAAATTAAACAGATCTGTGAAACGGACATAGTAATATGTTCAAATTAAAATCGATTTTAGATTTAAAAAAATTACGACACGGTTAGGACTTGAACCGGCATCTACAGCGCACCGAGCTCTTGCTCTAACCAATTGAGCTACCGTGTCCTACACGTCATCATCGAATTTCATCATCATCGCAAAAAGATTGAATTCAATCAAAATCTTACACAAACACTGGTGATCTACCGACTAGCAAATACTAGGAAACTTTGGACAAACTAATCTCCATCTGTCCATAGTACCAGTTGAGTTAAATTACATTAAACACGTGGAATTTCACTTAGGCTCTGGTCTCCTAAAACGACTCAGTTCGCTCACAGGATCGGCGTTATAGAAGAATTGCTAAGTAAACGTTGTATTGGACGATGCGATGACCAATATGATTTAGACCGCCGAAGAAAGAAAGAGAGCAATTTATAGACTACTAAGGCATACAAAAACATAATTTAATCTTAATAGTATAACTTAATATTAACAGGATAAAATAGTGTTGTGTGTTGCCAGGCCCTTTGTTAACATAACACTGATTTTCAGTGTGTCTCTAGAGTGTGGACAGCGGTGCCACACTCAAGTGAAAATAAACAAAAAAAATTGTCAGTCAAGCATGCAGATTACTCGATAAAAGTGGAAACTAATTTAATTATTATGTTTCATCAATAATTACACAAACGCCGAAAGGTGGATATAGCATGTCCCTCTTCGCATTTTTTAAGCCAATCTTACTAATATTATAAACGTGAAAGTTTGTATGTGTGGATGTATGTTTGTTACTCTTTTACGCAAAAACTGCTAAATGGATTTCAATTAAACTTTCCAATATTATAGCTTATACATCAGAATAGCACATAGGCTTATACAGATACTGTGTGAACTGTCCAAAATATGACATTAAGTGTCAAGCAACTAGGAAAACACCTACCTTTCTGCGAGCTATTCTGGCGTGAGCTGCCATAAACGTTCGTTACACATAATTATGTAATGTATGATATGATAGACATCATTTAGTTTAAATGCGCGATACTACGTAGTCCTAATCCTGCGTAGACGTAGTCGCGGGCACCAACTAGTCTTTTATATATTCACCTCACGAGCGTAGTAATTTCAAATTTAATATATTTCTATTGAAGTTCGATTTATATGCTACGCAGCTTAAAAAGTTATTGTAGATTAAGATACACATACAACATTTGAAAAAATATTTTTACCTCATATTATTATTACCATTAACCAACGAGTCTAACGGGAGTTTATAATAGTAGAAAGAAAACCTTTTGTTTTTCTTTTTATAGGAGACCACAGCCTTACCCGACTCGTGTAAGTATCCGATTCGCGTTCGTCCGCCAATCGATCTAGCTGTTGGTTGAAGGAGTCGTGCGACAGATCGCTAAACTTGTTGAGTTGGGTGTTGCGCAGCGTCTCTCGTTCCAGTGTACTTCCATGACGCTCTGAATTGCTCGAATCCAAGCTAATTAAATAAATTAATCATTACTTAAGTGTCGTTTAATAATTCTAATTGATGGTGCTTTAATTATTACAAAGACGGTGGATAAATTAAAATACTTATTAGAATTTTACTGTACACGAGTGAAACTTATACTAAACTTGTACTCACTAAACATACGCATTTTAAGGGTTTTTCAGTATAGTTTAAGCAAGGGTTACTAGGTACTACTATAAGTTTCATAATTTTCACATGGTACACATGAAATAACAACTTTTACTTAAGCATTTAAAATGTAAAATAAACAAGTTAATTTACTAACAACAATTCTTTGAAACGGATTCAACAATACAAACAACATGGATACAGAATGTCGGGTTGTATTTAACAACTGAATTAATTGTTTAATTTAGGAGTTTATTATATATACTAAGTAAAAAGAACTTAGAATCGTCGATTTAGTTCGTTTTAAGTCTATTAATTTACAGAGTCTCAAATTGATTTGATCTGTCTAAACAAGCAAATTTGTAAATTTTCCAGGGAAAAATTCGAACTAAAACAAATGACTTAATTAAAAACAAACGAACCTATTTTTATTCAACAGTTGCCTCGTCCTCTCCACTGAATCCCACGAGTCGTTTCTTGAATTATACGATTTCCCACCTGGATCCACTTCTTTCCCCCCTTCTCCTATCCCTATATACAAACAAAAATAATAAGAATTTACTTATAGAGTAAACAGTTTAAAAAAATAAGTATTCTTCTATTTTTAAACTGTTTATGAATGGCAAATACTTTTATTTGTCATAAAAATGCATGTTATATGTACGTGTATAGAATCTTTATTTATTTAATTTCACAAAATCATTTTATAAGGAATTAATATATATGTATATATATATAGTACAGATATTCCCTTAAATAGTTTCACAGATAAGACACACAAACAAACGCCTCTGTAGCCAAATAGTTAATCGTATTGCGTTAAGCGCGAGATTTCCTGGGTTCGAATCCCAGGCAAACAAAAAAATGTTTTGGTCGGGCAGGGCACAGAAGTCTGATCAACTACTTGCCTGGGAAAGAACGGATCAGGGAAACAGACACAGGAATGTGTTCGCCCCCTGCCCCACGAGGGGAAAACGGGATTTCACACACACACACACACACAAACAAACAAATGACTATGTCACACTATACGAACATGCATAAAAGACTACAAGACAGAATATATAAATCTATGCAAAAAACTATACCAATGAAGAAAACGAAGAATTACAATTTTTATAAAAGAATATGAATGAAATTAATTTTTATGGACAAAATAGAGATATCGTGGTTGCAGTATTATTGCTTAATAAAGTTTAAACTTAATGGATGTCTTTTTGTTATATATTATATTGTATTTGTTTACCATAAAAAGCATAAAATGGGACACACACTATCATAACACATACACACATTCATTGGAGAGTGTGCGTGTGTTTGTTTCTTCTTTATCTGTGTTTATGTATATTGTAAATCTATTTTAATATACTGACCTGGACTGCCATATCGTCGGGCCCGATCGTTTTCTAAAGAAGAAAGTGGGCTCATATCAAGGTTATCTTGGGAGCCACTGTATGAGCTATACATTTTGTAGTTGGACCGTTTTTCTACGACACGTTTAGTTGTTGTTACGGGGCTGTATCTCTCAGTAGGGCTGCTTACGCTAAAAAAATGATTTAATTGATTTACAATAAAATTAAACGTCACATTATTTAAAAGAGTATGAAGGGAAAGCCACTAAGTTTAGTAGTAGTGTTTAACACATTGTCTAATGAATATTTATGAAACATACGTAAGACAATGTTGTTGTGTGTAGTTTGTAGGTCGGACGCTAGATGGCGTTTTTTGTTTTGTTTATTTTTCATCCGGCTCGAAGGACCAAAATGTTGAACAGATGCTAAACCAAAATGGTTTATATCAAAAACCTTCGATAGCTTTTATATGTAGATTGACTTTATTTCCTTTACAACTACACTATTAATAGTTTTACATTTGACCTAAAAGACGCTATTTAAGGAAAATTATCGATGGCTTTTAATATGAACCATTTTGGTTTCACAAACTAATAAGTAATATTTATATAGAACATAAAAAATGTGTTTGTAACTATGAACTTGTCGAGGAAAATGTATGTACATAAATTGCCCCTACTTCATTACGACAAACAGTATGAAATTAGGATTTAATATCAAATGAATTCTGTTTGTACGTTCACACAAGTTTCGACCGCAGCTCACTCAATCTGGCACAGAACACGAGCGGATCAGTAGGGAGGTATTATGTGAAATATAACAACAATTTTCAAGTCACTTTAAAGTTTAAACAGTTTGGTTTTGAGTCCAATCCCCATCGGATCTTTTTTTTTATTTTATATTTTCTTTGACACATGCAAGATTATGACTGTAAAATCTGGTTGATGATTATATTCATACATTCACCACAGATGAAAAAGTCATAAAGTTTGGTTGGTGTTAGTCTGTGGATTTTCGAAATGTTTGCCAAAATAGGTTGACAATGCATGTGGTATACACGTTACATGGCTGACGTATTTTACCTTCTAGTAAACACTATGCTTATAACTGCTTGGAAAGTGATGTTATGGCGTAAATCAATATCCAAACAATAAAAATGCTTGGACGGAGGAAGAACAACGATATAGTACACTTGAAGTACGTAAAGTCTAAAAAATAAAATTTGGCGATAAAAGGCGTGGCGGCGAGTTTAATGCCAGTTCTTCTCGTTCGTTATCGCTGTTGATTTGAAATTGGTAGTGAATTTAGAGTCTTTAGTTTTTAACTGGTTTGTCGTCTATAAGTGTACCTGGTTACGTGAATAAAAGATTTTTGACTTTGCCTTTGTTTCCTGTGTCGTGTAAAACAAATGGTTTTAAATACTAGCTGTGACAGCGTCCGCGTAGAATAGTGACTTGGGGTAGAATTTTTAATTATTTAGGCTGTTTATTAATTTATGTAAGAGCGCATTTAAAACAGCTAATCTTTCGTAGGTGCTACTTTGCCGCAACACTCTCACCTCACATCACTCCTACTGACTGTAGGAACTCACAAAGAAAATATCTGTATACCAAATTTGATTTAAATCCGTTCAGTAGTTGTGGCGTGAAAGAGTAACAGACAAACAAACAGATAGACAGAGTTACTTTCGCATTTGTAATATTAGGAAGTATTTGAATTGTATTTCAGGTGTCACCTACCGATTAATTGGACTAGACGTCCTATTCAAAGGACTGTCTCTCCTTGTTAGCGGGCTAGTTCTCCCGAGTGGACTTGTAGCTCGATATGGGCTGCTAGCTCTATACGGACTACTTGATCGATTAACGTCCAAGCGTGACCCGTTCCCCAAATATTTCGAAGTAATCGGACTGGCCGTTCTTCGTGGACTCTCAGGCTCGTATTTGAACGTCTCCTTCTTATTCATCCTGGATGCGTAAGAGTCGGTGACATCAAACGACTTCTCTTTATCATATTCTCTTCTTTCACTCTTCTCTCGTTCCCGTCTGTCTATTGAGCTTGTGTTGTATTTTGTGGAATTCGAATCGTACAGATATTGATGGGGGCTTTCAGATCTAAGGCGGCTGGCTGGAATTATGAAAAATCATTGTACCGTAAATATTTTTATGCTCGCAGTACTCGTTTTTAATAGCGTAATGTTTTTTTGCCTTTAGCGGGAGGTAATAAAGTCGCGCGAAGTATAAAGCCCGGCGCAGTGGGAGTCGGGCGTACGAGGGGTTCCGTAGCTGTTAAAACATTAAAAATAATGTAATTAACAATTACTTAACTAAATACTTTTTTACGCGAGGAGTACACATTTAAATAAAACCCCTTATCGGTTTTTAACGCGATATATTAGTTAAACTTATTTGAAAATGATTTTTAACTTCGGCCCGACGTTTCGAATGCTTTGCAGCAGCCGTGGTCACGGGGAGACTGTTAAGCCGTTAAAGTGTTTTATTTAAAGATTACATAACTATATAATGAAAACGTGAGTTTTTGATCAAACTAGTAATGTTATATGGGAAATAGCGAAGCGTTAAGGGGCTCGTTAGTGTAATCTACAGGTCGTGAGTTCAATATCCAGCGGGTCCGACATGTTTCTCGGTTGAGTGGTAGGAATATCGAAATTCCGTCTGGGTCACTAACCACCGTACATAAAAATAACCCATATAGTTTAATCATTTTTCAGTTTCAGTCAGAATTCCGCATATTTAAAGCCAAAATCGATCGACATCGCATCTAGTGTAGATGTTAAACGGCTGGTGTATTTTACCTTCCATGAACCTCACCACCGCTTGTGTCACCTCTATCGTAAAAAAATTACAACACAAGTCTTAATTATACTGAAACTCTCAAAAGCTAACTAAGTGATTTACTATATAAATTTTGGCAGTTTACAATTACAAGAGCAAAAAAACCTTTACAAGATACATTAGAGATAAGAAGCGAATGCGCCGTCCTATTAATAGAACTTGCGAAAAATTTTGATATCCTACCCGCTTCTGTTATTTTTATTTTTGATCTGATTGGACTCGAAATAAATTAGAATTAAGAGTAGTTCATAGTTTCTTTGTGAGCGATTCGTAAATCTTAAGAGAAACAAACGTCTTAAACCATAAACCATAACAATATCGTGTCAAATTGAGAAAAAAAATGACATGAAAGTACTCGTTAAACATTTAATTAATTCTATGGGTGTTTGTTAATCAATCAATCAATCTTTAAATATAGAAACAAAATTTTACATAGAGAACCCCGTTAGTTACGGAACCCTAAAAGTCCAGTTTATTACCTCCAACATGTTTTAACAATGCCTCTGTAATGGCGACCTGTGTTAGGACGGGACGATCAGATATAAATACCTGGACTTGACATCGCATACGCTGGGCTGGCGCTGTCTCGGGGCTTTTTGGAGCGTGACCCCACCCGGAACACGTGGGGCGAACCATGAACATCGTAACCGTTGAAGTATATGTACAACTGGAATTTTTATTAACGTTAATTTTTTCTACTTTGTCATACTTTACGCGAGTAGTACACATTGGCAGTTTGAAACGCGAAATATATTCGTTAAACTTATTCGCAAATTATTACGGCTCGACGTTTCGCATGCTTTGCAGCCATGGTCACGGGTAGACGAGACGTCGAACCGAGAAATAATTTTCAAATAAGTTTAACTTATATAAATTGCGTTTTAAACCGTTAATGTCTTTTATTTAAATTGATAATATGATTTTCAATTGTCGATTACTATTGTTAGCGCGAAATATATTTATCAAATTATTAAAAACCTGTAAAGCAGTTGTAGATAACGCAAATAAAAAATTATTATGCATTATTTATTTTAGCTAATATATTTCCCGTTTTTAATCATTAAAACTGTTTTATTTAATGTGTAGGTACTACTTGCGTTAACTACAGTCACTTTTATTTATATTACTATGGTGTGATTCCACTTTTTAATTAGTAGGTATAATTTAAAACTGACTGGATGGCCGGTTCAAGCGTGGGGCTTGACCAGAGCTGCTACTGTTTTCTCCAAATTTCATAAATTTTAAAAGCCAAATTTAAAAAAAAATTAAAAAAAAATTATTTACTCCATTAATATATAATATAATAATATTGTTATTAAACTACGCTATATCTGATTTTATAGCAACGTTGTATACCTCTAATTAAAATATATAATCGTCACATAAATTATATGAAGTTGTTTTTTAGATTAAGCCTAAATTATATATTTAGTTGGTAAGATTCTTTGAAATAAATACTCTAACCTAAGGAGCTATCGTGTCCTTCCTAGTACTGCCTAGGTATCTAGAAATAATTACCCGATGTTTCCCCGCCGCCTTTGGCATGAACGTAGCCCGATATTTGGTAGGCGACAGTTTCTCCAGTGCACACATAACGCTCCGCTTGTCGTGTACAATATCTAGCTGCAAGTCACCCTTGACCCCACAACCGCTGGTATCCAGTTCGAAGGAGTGCGGTTTGAGCGGTTCCGCACCTTCCAGCGCGCCCTGGCTGAGACGGACGCCCGCTGGATCGAATACTTCGCATGTGAACGGACCACCCTGTATAGTAAATTATAAGAATTTTTAAAGATTTAAATAAAACACTTTAACGGTTTAAAACGCGATATATTAGTTAAGCTTATTTGGAAATGATTTTTAACTTCGGCCCGACGTTTCGGATGCTTTGCAGCAGCCGTGGTCACGGGGAGACAGAAACAGGAGAAGTTAAAAATCATTTCCAAATAAGATTAACTAATATATTGCGTTTTAAACCGTTAAAGTGTTTTATTTAAATGTGTACTACTCGCGTAAACTATAGACAGAATTTAAATATACAATTGTTTAATTTATATGCAGAATCACATATCCCTTTTAAAACTTTCAACAGCTAGATGTAAATTGTGTTTAATCTAGCAAATACACAAAATAATATTCGAAACAAAAGGCTCACCAATTAAAGCACCTTACACTGTAACATATACTGTGTATACCCATATAAAGTGTGAATTTGTATGTAAAACATTTTCATTTAACGCCACTTGCAGGGAGTGCAAAATTAGTTTTAGAAACTTTATTATACCGAGGTCTGCGTCCGCTTCCTATGGGATGTTGCTAATGACTTTAAAATCTATTTCAGGCGTCTACGATGATGAAATAAACAGGCATAACAACTAATAAAAATTACCTGTAAATTATACAAAATAATTATGTTTAAATAAAACACTTTAACGGTTTAAAACGCGATATATTAGTTAAACTTATTTGGAAATGATTTTTAACTTCAGCCCGACGTTTCGGATGCTTTGCAGCAGCCGTGGTCACGGGGAGACATCCGAAACGTCGGGCCGAAGTTAAAAATCATTTCCAAACAAGTTTAACTAATATATCGCGTTTTAAACCGTTAAAGTGTTTTATTTAAATGTGTACTACTCGCTTAAACTATAGACAGTATTTCAAATAATTATGTATAAGAGCGCCTCTGTAGCAAAATGGTTAAACGTGTTGCCTAGCAGTGCGTAAAGCGCCTGAGGTCCTGGGTTCGAATCCCGGGGAAACAACAAATTGTTTCGGTAAGGCATAGCACAGAGGATAAAGTTTAGAAGAGTGTTTCGTTTATTTAACTTCAATATTATCTAAATCGAACCTGTATATGCTCTCCCTTGTAGGTAATAGCAATAGTCCAAGTCCCAGCTTCATCAGGTTGAAAGGTGGCACTGGATGCAGTGGTTCCTGGAGCTGATGGTGGTGGATGTCTAGCTTCTAGTGGTACTGCTCTGCCGCTTGGTGAGTGGGCTGTCACATCTATATCCTGACGTCTCGGTGCACCTTCAGAGTCATTCATTGAGTGTACATTTTACAAAGAGTGTATTTTAACTATACGATTGCGACTATACTTTATTTGAATTAATATAGTAATATTGTTTTTGCATTATGCTTTGACAATTTGACTAAAAAGGGACCGTTCAAGTATTACGTAAGCACTATAGGGGGGTGGGGGGGTCTTTGTTTTGCTTATTTTTGATGACATGGCTGGAGCATGGATGACAGGGGAGTCCAGGTGATGATTACGTCATCGATATTTATTTACTTTCTGAATCAACTCACTTTCTTCATTTTAAAATTATACTTATAATATAAAAAATACATTTTTAATTGAAAAATGTTTACGTAAGCACGGGGGAGGGGGTAAAAGCTTTGCTTACTTTTGCTGACGAGGGGGATGGGGGGGTAAATAATTGTAATAAATCTGCTTACGTAATTCTTGAACGGCCCCAAAGCAGAATTTAATGATGAGTATCTTTTAATAAAACACTTTAACCGTATATTAGCTAAATTTACTGGAGAATTATTTTTTAACTACAGCCTGACGTTTCGGATGCTTAGCTTTGTTAGTTTGTTTACGCAAGTAGTAAACATTAAAATAAAATATTTTCAACGGTTTAAAACGCGAAATAAATTAGTTCACTTGTGTTTACTTTATTTTAACTATGACCCGACGTATCGGATGCTTCGTGGTTTCCCTGTGACCAAAACGCATAATGTATTAGTCCTCACCTCAGCTAGCCACAGTCGTCGGTGGTAGTTATAATTAATCGACATTGAAATTGGAAATGTTTCGAGTTTTAAAACGTTAAAAGCGTTTTATTTAAATTATCTGCAGCAAATTAAAAGATTTTACTACTCATTAATATTAATAACTTAATAAAAATCTATTATATAACGCAGGCTTATAAAAACAAAATTAAAATGCTTTAAACTTCCCTAACATAAAATATATGAAGTTTATGTTGACACTTAACATAAGTGCAAACCTTAACGCCAAGATTATATAATTTTTAATTTTCACCGAATTATTTCGACTTAATCCTACAATATTCACGTATGAACTTAAGGCCTATTCGAAAGCGACGCGTTTATAAAGACGTTGGTGCTCCATTACCTGTTGCGCTAACCAACACTTCTACAAGACTGCCAGCGGCACAAGGCGCCATGCCAGGCGGAGGCACTGACACCAATCTTGGCAACACTCTGAAGAAATATCTTCCATCCACCCTGTATAATCATTTTTAAATTAAATCAAAACATTCCCGCCACATTAAGAAACGTTTCTTGACGTGAGTTAGTTTAACGAATTCTGAAATTAAATTCCATAGTCATTTTATAAAATGTTTTGTGCTCTTTAATAACTAATGATGGGTTTTTTTTTATACATATGTGATAGTGGAGAACAGACAAACATGGGGTCCACATGATGGAAGGTGATACCCCACACAAAACATGTAAACAGGAAACTGTGGATCTATTTTTGCTTTGGATATTCGGAAATCCACAAATTGTAACGTGATTAAATTTTACAGCTCTTCCGTGTTGGACCCAGTTAATATTCACATTTCCATACACAGTCCAACTTGTTTCTGGATACTGTCAATAGTTTACGCGAGTAGTACACGTTTTAATAAAACACTTTAACGGTTTAAAACGCGATATATGAGTTAAACTTATTTTAAAATGATTTTTAACTTGAAACTCAGTCTGAAACGTCGGGCCGAAGTTATTAATCATTTTCAAATAAGTTTAACTAATATATCGCGTTTTAAACCGTTAAAGTGTTTTATTTAAATGTTTCAGGATGTTGATGCCGGGGGATCGAACCTATGAACCATCGAAACAAGCTCGTAGAATCAATGTCAATACTAGAATCCGCATTTTACTTAATTAAAATTACCACCAAATAAAACACATGCATTAGATAAAACGATATATTATATTTAGGTGCTAAATAACAAAATTTACTTTGCGTTTGTGACGAGCTCGTTGAATACTGTCTATAGTTCACGCGAGTAGTACACATTTAAATAAAACACTTTAACGGTTTAAAACGCGATATATTAGTTAAGCTCGTTGATCTTATGGTAGCAACGTACGGTTAATACCGGCTCCAACACTTTTCTGATCAATTTATAATTTTTCGGAAACATGTCTGGAAATCTGGATATTAAATGGTGCTAGGAATATCGAAATTCCTTCTGAGTCACAAACCATCGTCCACAGATGAAAAAGTTGTGAAGTTCAATAGCGTACGCGTTTATAATTTCACCTACCATCTAGTGAAATGTCTATCATAAAAAACCGTTAAATTTGGTTTATCGCAGAGAGATTTGTATCGCACTCCAGTGTGAAAATGAAAATGTCAGACTAACCTTACGTCGTCGACAACGAGAACAATTTCGTGCATGCCTGCGTGCTCCGGTACGAATTCTCCGGCGCCTCTCGAGTCCAATTTCAATCTAGACTCCTGTTCTAATGGGTTTACGATTAACACTTTTACTTCCGATATCGACAGCTCTCTCGTTACGCTCTCGACTTTTATGTATGTCTGCAAATAAAGGACGTTTTACATGTATAATTACATATATAATTTGAATATTTTTATATGAAAAATGCACATTAATTATATAAATTAAAAAACTGATTAGATTAAAAACTTTTAACGACATAACTGGGCCTTGAACTGCCGTGTCTCACATAATCGTTGAATTTCTTTAACCAATAGAGATATGCATCTCACGAGCAAAATAATTTTAACCTTAACACATAGTTTAACAAAAATGTGTGTAAAATAAAATAATTTTGAATTATATTTAATTATCATAGTAACATATTAGAGAGTAAATAAATAAAACATATTTAAAAAAAAATTGAGCTCATGTGCTGCTGAGCTACCGTGTCTGATCGAAGAATCTAAGCATTTATTAATGACGTATATACTATACTGTGTAAACGATTTTTTCCATCAATTTAAAATGTTTTTTCATTTGGAACACAAATGAAAAAAGCTAAGGGAATTAAGAAAGCAATACAATGACACAGCCCGAAAGTAGGTAAACGGGAAAACAAGGAAATATCTGTTGTGAATAATGACTTAATTTCAGAGATTAGCTTCGGCTGTACGCTCGAGAGTACAGACTTCGTTTCGCGATATTAATGCTTTTATCCCTTAAAGTAAATAGGAAGAAAGAAATAAACTTTTATTCAAAATACAAAAAGAAGAAGTCTAAAGACTAAAATATCGAGAAATTTCTGCCAGCAAGAATTAAAATGTTACAGCTCTATTTTTCAGTCTGTTTCTTCAGCCTGAGGCTTTGGAAGATCCTGACTATAAAATTATTAATTATATATATCTTATTGGTCTATAAGTCAATTCTGTCTCATAATATTTTTATGACATTTAAACACCTAACATCATCACAAAATAGCACTTACATTTGGCTGCCTTAAATGCGCCCTTACATAAATTAATAAACAGCCTAAAAATTAAAAATTCCACCCCAAGTCACTATTCCACGCGGACGAAGGCGCGGGCACAGCTAGTAGTGAATAAGAAAGAAATATTACATACTATATTTATAGAGAAAGGCTATATTATATATATGATATCACGCTGTGTGAGTGAAAGTCTGAACAAAAATGGGATAATTGTTCAACTTTGAGGGCTTCCGTTGCGGGACTCTTAACGGATAAAAAAATAAGGATTGATCGACTTGCAGGTTTTTAAAAATTATCTAAAAAATCTTTTATGATTAAATCGTAAACCGCTTTTATGGTAATCGAATTTGGTCGAAATGAATGCATTATTACCAATTGTTTTGTTAGAGTTATTAATAACGCTGTAATTGTAAAAAGTATATCTCTAGTGCAAAATAAATAAATCCCACACTCACAGTCTCTCCGACCCGACCTGAAGTGGAATCGAGCGCGACTCGCAACATGTCGTGTACAGGCGGCCGCGGTGGGATGTTACGAAATTGTGTGACCCACGCCATTACACCTAAGTGTTCTACGTCGCTCTGGCTCATGTCCTTCGCTGATAACACTGGCTGTACTCCTGCAAAGGATAGACCCATTAAGAACTTGCTTCTCAAGTGTTTATCTAAAGTTGTTTGATATTTTTTATATGTTAATAAAATTAAAAAGTCGTTTAGATAAAAAACATTATACACGACATCGCCCAATTTCTTCAATGCTTTTATCTATGTATCGCTCACATTATGTGAAACATATTACAATTTCAAACATTAGGTATTTAAATAAAACAGTTTAACGCTTTAAAACGCGATATATATTAGTTTGAATGATTTGGACATTATATTAACTGCCCGAATGTACCCGATGTTTCGAAATCCCTACGTGATCACGACTGCTGGAAAGCATCCGAAACATCGGGCCGTAGTTAAAAAAATCTCAAATAAATTTAACTAATATGTATCGCGTTTTGAACTGTTAATATGTTTTACTTACATATATACTACTCGCGTAGCTACAGACATTATATATACTCGATAAATTCTGAAATAGTTTTTTTAAGTTTGTTTTTTTAGGGGTGTCATGGGGGATTAAAGATAAGACTTCTTTGATGTAAGGTCAATTAAATAATATAATTTGCGTAACATATTTAAACCAGTAATACCAATGTATCTACGCAATAATTAACTATTGTCAGTGTTATGAGAAAATAAACTGAATAATAGCATCAATATTGAAATTTGCTGAAACCGCAACGTCACGAACGCAGTGCATCAGAATTTTGATGAGAACATTCCATTGTTTACCCCAATCGGCTAATTCAAATTAGAGGAAATTTGGGCTTCGGTGATATTACCGAAATTGTATAACGCTTTCGGAAATTGATTATGACTACAGTTAAATAATCAATGATAATTTACACGGTACGCTATCTGATATCCGAATATCCAAACCCAAAATACACAGCTCCTGTAGATATATGGCTGGGATATTTCACCTCAGATCAAGTAGAAGACAGGCAAGCATGAGGATGCTTGCTTGTCTACTACTATCATTAAAAAAATCAAAATGTCTCGTTGTGTATGGTGTGTGTAGTGGTCATCGTCTGCAGATCACAAGTTCAAATCAATCAATCCATCGATTGAAATGGTCTAAAATCGATTATCTTTACATAAAGCTGAAGAGTTTGTTTGAACGCGCTAATCTCGGAAATTGCTGGCGCATATTCATTAATCAATAAGCATTCATCGAGGAAAGCTTTAGGCTACAAAACGTTACGATTAACAAGATTCAACAGAAAACACTGAGAAAACGGTTCAAGAAACCAAAAAAATGTTAGAAAAATGACTGCATTCAATTATTTAAGAAACGTCGGCGACACTATTTGTCTTTCATTCAAGTTTGACTCGCAAGAACGACGGGCTGAGGGGGTTATTTGCAAGATTAAATAATAAGACGCCCAAAGTAACTATTCCGCAGACGATGTCGGAGGCACAGCTAGTTTTGTTTAATAGAAATAAGCTTTAATTTTTACGTACCAAGTTTTTTACCAGCGTCAATAGCCATTTGGTTGTTTTCTTCCCATCGCGCTGGGTCCCTTCGCAGTCTGCTAGGTGGAGGTGCTGGTCCACCCATGGATCTCACCAGCTCATTCGCAACGCGACCATCATTCCAATCAGTCTAAACGAATAAAATCATACATTATACTATCCTATATTATTTAAATAAAACTTAAACGGTTTATAACGCGATATACATTAGTTAAAATTAATGGAATTTATTTTAACTACGACCCGACGTTTCGGATGCTTTGCAGCAACCGTGTTCACGGGGAGACAGTAGTTAAAATAATTTCCAAATCCGTCAACTAATATATATCTTGTTTTAAACCGTTAAAATGTTTTATTTAAATGTGTATTACTCGCGTAATCTATATTATGTATATATAGGAACCCGCTCTAAAAAAAGAATCTATTGCACTTAAGTAACGTAAAGACTGTAAAATGACTCGGCGATAAAAAGAGGTGGCGGCGAGAGTCTTGCCAGATCTTCTCGTTCCTTCTACGCCCTTGATTTGAGAACTGGTAATAAATGAAAATTTAGAGGCCTTAGTTTTACTACGTCAATAAACGATTTTTGACATTAATTTGAATAAAAATATACTTGTCTTCGTTTAAAATTGAGTCTGAATACTCAATTTTAAACGAAGCGTTTGATTTATGAACTTAGGTAAGAGTTGTTTAACACCAAGCGAAACGATTACTATTATAAACGATTAATATTATAATGGTTTGCGACCGAACTTACTAAGTGGATCGCTATTATTTACGACGCGAATCGTCCGAAATACTATGAAGTTTCTTATCTTTAAGAATACATTTCCGTTTACACAAACATAATATATAAAAAACAATTTAGAAAAGGAGTAGAAATGATGTACTAAACAAAAATAATGTACAAGTAAAATACTTTTAACGGTTAAAAACGGGAAATATACTATTTGACTTATTTTTAATTTATTTTAATGATGATCTCTCCATTTCTCAGCTGCTGTAATATTTCGTAGTTAAAAGAAATTACTTATAGAACTACTAGAGGAAAGATTTTTATTTAAAAATAAAAATCTCCCGTGAATGATACAGTATTATTAATGAATCAACAATAAAACGTTTCTCGAGTAAGCAAGGATATACACAGTGTAATATTATCTAAAGTTGAAGAGTTAGATTGTTTGAATAGGACCAATAGGAGCAAAGAAAATGTGGACTAAAACTGTTCTGTTGCGGGAGTTGCAAAAACAATTGAAGAATCAAAAAAATTGTTCATGGAAAGAATGTTTTTTCTTTGAATGACATAACAAGTATCAACTCAAAAATAACTTTTAAGTTAAATTTGGACATATCCATCGTGTTTTACTAGTGTAGCCTTTTCATTTGACACCCATATTGAGGGGGTTAAGGAAAAAAATGTAATCAGCCATTTTGTATCGGCGGCCATCTTAGATTTCTAATGTTATTGATTTTCTTATACTGTATTTGAAAACTTCATTATTTTATACCTGTTATTGCACATGAAGGCGCTATATAATTAAAAAATCGAAATAAATTGAAAAAGAAATTTTCGACTCGGGCAGGACTTGACACGGCGCCGTCAGCGTTCCGTGCTGTTGCCGGTTCAAGTCCTAACAACGTGAAGGTAATTTTGACCAAAATAAGTAAATCCCGTACGGGTCAAGCTAAATAAAATTGTTTAATTTAAAAAATGTCCGCGGTATATGTCTATCTTTCTTATATCGTTTCTATTGATACTTGAACAAATAAACACTGAACAGCCGTTTTATGTTAATAAATTTTTGCCGAAATGAATGCATTATTACCAGTTAATTGCTAGATTTGTATCATCATAATAATATTTATCTTGCAAACAACAGAACAACGTTTGCCAGATCAGCTTTGTTCACGTAACATAGTTATTTTGTGCATTAAATTTATTACTCTCAATGTCGGTCGCGCCACGTAGTTCTTACAAGAACTTTGTTTTTCTTTGTTATCTGTTACTGTTCATCTTCTATTATTAACTTATAAGTTAATTTAAAAAAATTAACATATAGTGTCGCGGACACGTTTTTAGATCATTTAAAGAGGAAAAACATGCTTTCTTATTTTTTTGCGTATCTTGAACCGTTTTCGCAGCATTGCAACCCACACAGATAAATTATTTCCCCTTCTTTTAGTCACAGCGCGCGAGCCTATAGCCTTCCTTGATAAATGCACAACTCAACAAAAATTGATTCCAACTAACAAAATTGTTTAATTCGAGGGTAATAGTTCCAGAGATTAACGCGTTCAAACAAACAAACTTTTCAGCTTTATATACAGAAGTATAGACAACAAAAAGTTACAGTAATATTCATAATTTTCTTTCGTTGATGCGTGATATGCACCCACAGTGCCAATAGAACCTTCTTTTCCAGTAAAAAGCCATTTTACGCCCGATAATACATTATCATTCGACACCAAAACAAACATATTGGGGTACAATTTGGTCTTGTTATCTCGAAACGACATTAGCGCACCCTTTACGTTTTCCTGTTTGCTTACTCCCCGGATATGCTTGTCCCTTAGGGCTTCATGTGTTTTAATCGTACGTCATTGAGGGGAACCGACAATTTTCTTATTAAATGTTTCACTTAATGGCAAGTGGTCGAGAAAACGAAAAACAACTTGTTACTTAGGTAAACACTGTCTGTAGCTTACGCGAGTAATACATATTTAAATAAAACACTTTAAAGGTTTAAAACTTGTTTGAAAATTATTTTTCACTACGCCCGTTCGTTAATTTTTACTTGTTACTTCCTCAAGTGCGAACTAATATCAGTAAAAAGCTATTATTAAGTACAATCTATGTAATTGTGTCACTCCTAGAACAACTAATACATACATACAAACATAATAAAAATGAGAAAATTATTGTCCTGTAGTTTACGCGAGTAGAGCTATTAAAACACATTAACGGTTAAAACGCGATATATATTCGTTAAACTTATTTGCAGCAGAAAAGAATAGTTTCCACGTTTTGAACCGTTTTTTATTTATATAAAAAACACATTGTTTAATTTATATAAAAAAACCAATTAAGTGTGCTCGTATACAAAAAAACGCAATGTTGTGGCAGAAATATATCTCTATCACAAAATACTCAATCCTGTACTAATGTAATTTGCGAAAAATAAGAAAATAAAAATACAATACGCAATTTGTTTACCTAGCCAATAGGGAATCTTTATTAATTAGAGATGTTTACACTTGTAAAAGTAAACTTCATTATAAATGTTTGCGAAAAATCTTGGCAATATATATTGAAACTTACTTTCTAATCCCTATATTAAATAGTAGTACGTTTTTTTTTAAAAGTAAGTTTAGTTAACTACGGCGCGACGTTTCGGATGCTTTGAAGCAGCCGTGGTCACGGGGAAACGTTGTAATGTATTGCAAATCTTTATTACTGTTTACCGTAACGTCCCAGCAGTGGGAACTGCAAAATCTATACATATAGTATCTGTCAAATCAAAGTAGTGTATTGCTAACAATCAACGGTTCGTGGATTCGATTACCGCCAAATTGTTTGTAATAATAATTAAATGGTTGAAAGGTATGTCAAAATTCAGGCTGAATCACTAACCACTGCTTAGAAATAGAAAAGGTGTGAAGTGAAATTGAGTTTCCGTTTCAGTCTGTTGATTTACGAATGTCTAAGCCAAGGTCGGCAGTACGTCTTTTTCGCTGTTAATCTTTAATGTTTAGTATAAGAGTGGAATTCCGTTTCTCCCCGTGTGGCATGGGGCGAACATTTTCTGGGACCGTTTCACCGATTGGTTTCGAGGCTTTAACAGCGTTGTAACTTGCGAAGAAAAAGCGGAAAATGTAAAAAAAACGGCGAAAATGATTCGATATTTACAGTTCAAGACACCCAAAAAATGTGTACGGAAGAATGATTCCTCTTTAGAAGATCTAAAAACGTGTCTCTTGAAAGAACGGGACGGGACGTGGAAAACGTCATCAGCCTTAATTTAAAGAGTTCAGCAGGTGGTGTGTGGTGGAGGTGTGCAAAAACAAATTTAAAGCCCAAAATAACTAATCTACGCGGACAAAGTCGCTGACACAGCTAGTCATAAATGATCTTACCGTGAAATTGGAAATAGGTCTTTCCAGACGTGAATTGACCCAGTCCAGGGTAGACTTCATCCCCGCGGAGTCAGGTTTCATGAAGTAAGACAGATACGTCATTCCGGACAGTTCGTCCAGCCACGGCGATGCCAGATACTCTGGTTCCAGGACCATGGGCACTTGTAGTTCTCTGTGAGCTAGTTTCATTGCCCTCCTGCAGTTCTCCACAGCCTCATGGCGGTCTATATAAAAAGTGTTTAATTTTATTGTATTGAAGTGAACAAAAAATTCGACTATGACGTGTAGGACTGGGTTGCTCAATGGTTTAAAAAAAAATACGACGGTAAATAGATATTCTTTCGGGTCAAAATAGACACCAAACTTCACTTGTTATTTTTGGCTATTTTAATAAAAGATAATTCAATTATTGTAATTAATTATAGTCCGGATTACTATTATATAAATACCGTGTATATGGGGCATGGGTCAGACACACTTCTGTGTCTATTTCAATGCTACATTATAAATAAGATCAGTGTCTCTAAAAATATTATTTGGCGTTGACTGTACAAACATTTCAGTAAGACTTGCCCACGTTTCAGCTATAGTTACGAAAACTTTTATCTATTATTTCTTTCCCCGGAACGCACTGAAAAGCTTCTTAAGTCAACCCCAAATCCGCATTACATAGTTATTTATCTTTGCTTTCTCTCTATTAAAAATATTACTAGGACGTAGGACGATAAAAACAATAACGAGAGTGGAGCCACGAAACAAGTTATTATTATAGATATATTAACATTATAATGTATACACGTTTTTATAATAGAACTCCAGTAGATTTTTAATTTAAAAACAATTCATTCAAATATCCAAAGCAAAAATAATACATGGCTTTATTTATTTCACCTTCCGTCAAATGAAATCCATACTTGTCTGTTCTCCTCTAGCATAATATAAGATTTAAAAAAAAGATACATAATCGATTTTTATATGAGAATCTATTTATTAGAGATGGGCCGAGTACTCGGTTGGTACTCGGTACTATGCGCGCGCGGCGTGTATTTTGATACTCGTACTCGGCCGAATAACTCGGTTATACTTTGTTATTTGATAATGAGTATACTTTGTTTTAAGAGCAATATATTTAGTCAGATATAATTTAAACAACAGTGTCAATCCAAAGTATGTATTAGTAATTTAGGAAATGTTTAAATAATCTCAATTTATAAACGCGTTTGCAAACAATCAAATGACTTGTAGTTGAAAAGCGTGGTGTATCAACGCCAAGGCCTGGTTTGTACTTGTTTTCGCGTGCGAAATGGGAATTTGACTAAACCGAGTTAAATACTGTCTATAGTTTACGCGAGTAGTACACATTTAAATAAAACCCTTTAACGGCTTAAAATTAATATTAACTTAATTGAAAATTATTTTTAAATTTGGCCCGACGTTTAACTAATATATCGCAAACAAATAAGTTTAACTAATATATCGCGTTTTAAACCGTTAAAGGGTTTTATTTGAACCGAGTTACTCAGCTGAGCACTTGATTGAAAAAAAATTGAGCCGAGTAAAACTAGAGTACTAGTTACTCAGCAAAAGTGTTACAGAGCGCATCTCTACTAATTATCTATTTATTATGTACATACAAATAAAAACTTACTCAATTCCTTCCAATGTGGAAAGATACCAGGTTTACAACGGTCTAGCAGCGCGGATAGAAGCACACCGCTATTCCAATCTGTCGTTAAGTTGCTGACCCGACATTCCGGAAGGCTCGACTGCAGCCAGGCTAGCATCAGCTTTCTGCAATTTTAGGTAATGAGAACTGACGATGTATTATAATAGGTTTGCGCAGCACAAAAACTAATTAAAACAGGAAAATACGCAGATAGAGTCTGCATTGCATTGTTGCCCGACGACGCCAACTTAAATGAACGGTAATTATTACATACTATCTGGGTAAGCGACTTTGTCCGCGTAGAATACATTTTTTGGGCGTAAAAAAATTGATTTTGCAAAGGTCCTCCGACCCTTGTGACCCACATCGTTCGTGCCTGTCCTTATTGCAAGTTAATCTTGAAAGATAGATAGATAGTGCCGCGGACATTTTTTTAGATATCTTGGACCATTTTCGCAGCGCACGCTGTATCTCTCGAAGATGAGTTATTTCCCCCCGTTTGTTTCACATTTCCGATTGTTTTTTCGCTTTTAAATGTCGCCGCATAATATTTTATGGCGTAAAACCTTTCTGTATTAATACGCTAACCAATACAAAAATAGTTATTCAATTCGAAACAGTAGTTACTAAGATAAGCGGGTTCAAACAAAATCCATCATAATAATAATAATAATAAACTCTTTATTGCACAAACATAGACATAAGAACATGCATACATAGAATTACATATACAAAATAAAACATGTTTGTGCAAAGGCGGCCTTATCGCCTATGGCGATTTCTTCCAGGCAACCTTTGCATGTAGAAATAAGAAATAAAAAAGATAATTTTGGAAAACAATCAAAAGTCAACATAAAAAATTAAATTATACAATAAAAAGATAATATAAACTGGAAATTAACACCAAATTACTAAAGCTAATCATGTGCAATAATAACATGTGAAAAATATTAATGTTTATAAACATAAGTAATCCTATTTAAATTCTGTTGCACGAAACCCAAACATTATGTTAATGATACAACAAGTAAATTGAATTCAGTTATAATAACAAAATTAACTGATTACCCTTAATTCTATGAAAGCCTCGTGTTATATGAGTGCTGTCATATTATATTATGTTTTATTATTTGGATGACCTCCATAGTTTGGGGTACAAGCAAAGGGTTCACGACAACAACGACGATAGCAGTTTCTGATCTTTCACGAGATTTCAGAAAATCACTAGTAGGCAAAAATCAATATTTCGTTCATGTGTCAAGCTATCGTACAGTTTCACTTTCAGTTTTCCATTGTCCTAAGCCAGGATAGGCCGACAGCACATCTTAATTATATGTTACTAGCGACTTTGTCCGCGAAAGTCTTGATTTTGGCATCCAAATTCGTTTTTGCAGCGTACGCCGAGGCTTTTCAAATTTCTCACTGTATCTTCACTTGTATTAGACACAAGGCGGTGTTTTATAGCCTTCCTTAATAAAAACTCTAAGACAACATTAATTCTTCAAATCGAACCCGTACAAATACAAACATACAAACTCTTCAGCTTTATACATTAATATAGATAGGGCCGGAGCATTTTCTTCCATTAAGTGCACCACTTAAACTTATTATAGCCCGATCCTTACGTATATAAATGATTAGAAAGTTGCCACGATATTTATAGAAAAACAACTATTTCTTAATAAAGTCGGGTTGAAATCGAACCAGTACTAAGTGGGATGTATCGTAATCTTATTACTTGTATAAGTTGATACTGACACAACACAGTTTAAAGTACTTACCTTTTAGTTATTGATTTTATATTGAAACACTTTTTACCAATACATCGTATATAAATACACTAGCTGGGTCAGCGACTCACTCCGCGAGAATCGTTATTTTGGGCATCCAAATTCGTTTTTGCAAACCCGTAACCCACGATGTCGGTCGCGTCCCTTCTTGTCGTTCTTGTAAGTTATATTAAAAGATAGACATATACTCTTAGCGTCGCGGCCTTTTTTTGATCTTTTAAAGAGGAATCATTCTTTTATAAATACTTTTTGGATATCGTGAACCGTCTTTGCAGCGTACGCCTCGGAAACCCATAATGATGACAAATTTTCTCCGTTGTTCCACATTTTCCGCTGCTTTTTTGCTCACAGAAAAATATTTTTTCAATTCGAATCCGCATTTTCTGAGATAGCGCGTTCAAACATACAAACAAACTCTTCACCTTTATATATATGTAAGTATAGATAGACTTTTTGTAATATGTATGTACGATACACATATAAAAGGTTCTACTCACCTCGGTGGGAACTTGCTCCTTCCAATTTGGTAACGAACAATCAGTGACCAGATTAATCCTAATATTAACTTAAGATTTCCATTAACAATATCCACGTTTCCTAAAAAAAAAGAAAACAAACTTATTAGTCTATTAAGATAAAAATGTCCAAATTATATTGACGATTTCACTGGATTCAACTAGCGAACAACCGGGCGTACTGCAAGTGTATGGGGGAGGCCTATGTCCAGCAGTGGACACCGAACGGCTGAAAATATATTGACGACACGGTAACTCAATTGGTACAGAACCGTACACAGCGTATAGATGCCGGTTGAAGTCCGTTACCGTTTTGTAAATTGTACAATCTAAATAGATTTTTAATTTATATAATACTAATGGAAGAAGTTATAAAGAACATTGAATTTTTCAAATAAACTCTATTTACAGAAGATGGGACTTCTGTTTCTGCACATATCTTCGTCAGTTGCACTGATTGTGAATAGTCACAGGCGAGTAAATTATCACTCCTCTGTGCCCTGCCTTACAGAAAATTTGTTTCCCTGGGATTCGAACCTAGAATTTTTCTTGCTTAACATAATGTTTAAACTTTTAATCATTGTACTACGAAGGCGTTCAAAAAGTTATACTCATTTAACTATTATAGATCTGATCCAGTAAACATTCCAGTTTATATAAATAACATTGCGCAAGAGCATGTATAAAAGCATTAATTAAATCGATCGGGTTAAAGCCCCGCTCATGCATATTTTTCTGTCTAATAATTGTCGTACCTATATTAACTAACTTCACTCCATCGTCCTCAATGGCTTGTAGAGCGGTGGTAACATTTTCTAGTTTATGGTGCTGGTTGGTTGGATTCTTACTCCAACCTTTAAGTCTTCGTCCCTGCAAGGCTTCCACTAGAGCACACAAGACTGTACCGTCTTTTAAATCTTCGATCAGATCCACGACCTGGTAGGGGATTTGAAGCAAAAAATAGTTATTAAAATTCGAATATCTCAACCCAAAACACAAGTTGATAGCGCATCTTGTTGAGATGTTATATGGCTGGAGTTTTACACCTTCCATGGAGTAAACCCCATGCATGACTTTCCACATATATATTTTTATTAATGTGAAGAGATTGTTTGTTTCCATAAGGTAATTTCAGAAACAATTAGTCTCATTAAAATACTTAAATTACAGAAAAACCTATCAGGCTAGGTGGTGGCTATCCAAGGAGGAAAAAAAGAATTTAATTGCGCGAGGAAGAGAACTCATAAACTCACGATCAGAAGTGGGAAACACAAGCTAGAAAAGCTTACTTGTGGAGTACTATAGAATTAACAATCATAATATTGTCAGTAGCTTACGCAAGTAGTACACATTCATATAAAACAATCTTAACGGTTTAAAACGCGAAATATATTAGTTAGCTAATTTTACATTTTCATTACGGTCCAACGTTTTAGAGCAGCTGATTTGCAGCAGCCTTGGTTACCGCAAAGCATCTGAAATGTTGGACCATTCCATTTAAACAATCATAATATGAAAAAAAAACATACCTTTATGTTTACAGGTTTGAGTGTCTCGTTCACCCAATTACGAAAAGTATTGGCTTGGATTTCCACCCAAAGATCCTCATGACCCTTGATAGCCATCGCTTTCGCGGCTGTTCCTTCTGGACTCCTTGCCGCGAGTCCAGCCTGAGTGATGCGACCAGCTGAACCTTCAGGCGTGTGCGCCTTCAGGCCCTGGTGAGTTACACGAGCACCATCCATGTCGGGTAAGTGTCAGTGTCTATGGTTGAATTGGTATACCATATCTGCCAGTGTGGTGCAAACCACAAGTGTCATCTGGAAAGAATACAATATTTAAACATTTTAATATTAAATAATGTCTGCAATTTACGTAAGTAGTACATTTAACTAAACCACTGTAACGGTTTCAAACGCGAAAAATATTAGTTAAGCTTATTACAAATTAAACTACGAAATTTGTAGCAGTCGTGGTCACAGGGTGTCTAAAGTTGGAGGGTGTCTCCAATGTCAAAGGCGAAACTGTTACTCAAGCGCCATATTATAGAATACTGACATTTCCATATTTGTTCTATGCCTACTCGTACTAAGTGTTCTATACTGGCACAGTTTGCGTCTGCAGAGAAAAGAGCAGGTTTTATTGTTCTAAGATGCGGTATAGGTATACAGGATGTCCCATTTCTACAATATTTGATCGACCTTAAATATAGTTGCCGAAATGTACTGCATGAACTGTCTTTTTTTTAATTTTTCTCTTTCCAATTTCAAAAGCATTTAAATACAGTTTCAATTGTTTTATTTGTAAGATTTAAATACAAATCGAAGTTGAAGCATATGTTGGTTTTAAAATTTATAGGTTCATGTTTTTAACTATTAAAGCGCTTTTCATTTTTTCCCATTTTCTTAAGATTTATTTTCGGTGGTATTAAGAAGTTCATCTCCTTTAACCGCTATCTTCAAAAGAAAAAAATAATAAAGCCACTTTTTAGTCTAACATGTTTCTAATTTATAATTTTTCCGAAACATGTTCGACTTCATCTGGAAATTGATATTAAGTGGGTGGTAGGAATATATAAAATACTGTCTATAGTTTACGCGAGTAGTACTCATTTAAATAAAACACTTTAACGGTTTAAAACGCGATATATTAGTTAAACATATTTGGAAATGATTTTTAACTTCGGCCCGACGTTTCGGATGCTTTGCACATGACCACGGCTGCTGCAAAGCATCCGTGGTATCTATCATAAGATAAAAATTTGCTTCCTATATAGCAAGTGGAACACCCTGTATAGACTGTTCGTAGTCGAGATGTTCGTCAACGTCGATGGAAATACCGCTAAGAGTTTTCAGCAGATTGATGACGTATTGTCACTAAACTTCAGATTTGATTGATGATGCTTTTAGACCCGATATTACCACATGCGTCACAATCAAGGATTTAAAGAAATAATTTATCTTAATCTTTTTAATAAATAAGTTTTTTTCATGGTAGAGGATGACGGACATGGAGGAACTTGATGGGAGGTGAATTACTCCAGTCATATAACATAATATGAAAAAGCCGTGAAGTTTAATCACGTTTCGGCATCATAGTCTATTTTCAGAAGTCCAAAGCTAATATAGTTAGACAGTGTATCTTGTTTAGATGTCTGACTGCGGTATTTCACTTTTCTATTCCTGTCTATTTTCCTTTGTCATTAAAATACAATTTAAATAAAACACGTTTACCGTTTAAAACTAGAAATATTTAAAATCGATAATAAATTGAAAAAAAAATACGACTCGGGTAGGACGATTTTAATTAACTTATTTTTCACTACGGCATTTAGATGAAGCCGCAGCTAAACAGCAGCCGATCGTCTCGGGGTTAAAGATCGAGGTCGTCCCTAATGTCTGTAATCTGCTACGCTAGCGCCATCATCAAAAAAAATCACAACACTTTTCGCAGTCTAGCGGATTATAATGGAAACTTCGTACGTGTGGCAGACTCACGCTTGACCGGTTTTACAAAGTTGACATAAGGATGTGTGAATTAATTTGTTGTAATAATACAGCATAATAAATAAACGCTAGATTTTTTAACAGCATATTTTTAATTAACCAGCTGCGGTGTTGTTTTAGCACTTTTTACAAAAAATGCTGCTGCTGCATGTCCCGTATGGTTTAATACACTCACTAATTATACTAGTCTCGGATCTGGGAGGAGATTTTATAGCTTGGGGGGGATTTCATTTTCGCTAAGCACTGCGTTAAGCGCAAAGGGTCCTTGCTTTGAGTCCTTAGCAATAAATTATTTTAGCCGCCAAATCACTAAGTGTGATTACCACACTGTAAGTAAAATCGATCAACGAAAAGGACAAATAAATATGTTTGCTCCATGGCCGCCAGAGGACTACGAGATTATACAGCAGCGTGTAATAAGATAAAAAAGTGAAATTCACTTAAAGATTACTATTTTTGTTCAACTCGATAACATTATTTAAAGAGTTGACTTTTGACTCCCGTCGTTCTTGCAAGTTAAAAGATAGACATTTAGTGTCGCGGGCAAGTTTTTAGATCATTTAAAGAGACCATTCTCTCATACAGTGTACGAGAGAATGATAAGTGCTCTAACACAAAAATATTTTTTCAATTTGAAACAGCAGTTGCGCGTTATGAAAACTTTTCAGCTGTATATACTAGTATAGATAACAAATCTAGTCTGCTTGCGTATAAGAACCACCTGTCATTAAAAGGTTATATTATTCAACCGAACGTTTCCAAGACTTCATTAAGTCGCATTAATTTAATAAGAAAGTACCATACATTTATTTCAAAGGAGTTTTCCTCATACAAATACATTCCTTGAAAAGTAATTACTCAAGATCCATCGGGCATTCACGAATGAAGCTTATCGTTATTTTAAACCGTACTTTGTTGCCGGTGTTTTTTTATATAGCATAGAATGAAAGACAATACTCGTTTTTACTATAGAGGAGGACAAACAAGTATGGAGTTCGCTTAATGGTAGGTGAAAAACCACAGGTATCTAAGCAAGTTGCGCAAGCGACCTATTTTGCCATTGGAAATCCCTAACGAAGCGAAACATGAACTTTCGGCTTTTTCATCGGTGGTTCGTGATCGGACGGAAATTCGATATTCCTACCACCAATATAATATCCAGACATCTAACATGTTTCAGAGAAATTATAAATTGATTAGAAAAATACCAGGTGGGGATTATAAATGCGAAAGTAACTCTGTCCGTCTGTCTATCCGGCTTTAACTCCGAAACTACTGAACTGAACTGATGTGAGGTGAGAGTGTTGCGGCAACGTACCGCTTACGACATAAATTGGCTGCCTTAAAGCACCCTTACATACATTAATAAATAGCTTGAATAATTCAAAATTCTACCCCAAGTCACTATTCCACGCGGACGAAGTCGCGGGTACAGCTAGTCAATAATATACAAAAATAATTTTTCAATTCGAACCCGCACTTCCTGAGATTAGCGCGTTCAAACAAACAAACAAACAAACTTTATATATTAGTATAGATATAAATGATAAGTCGGTCTAAACGTTTGTAGGTGGAGTGTTTACGACATCTAAGGTAACGTCATTTCTATTTTAAATCGATCATGATCTTCATTCAATGACATGGGTGAGCAAAGCCTGATTTGTAACCTAAAAGATGGTTGGGGGCTGAATATTTTTCTAATCAATTTATTATTTTTCTGATACATGATTTCGTCAGAAATACGGGTGTACTTCACCCTCAAGCGAACGCCATCATTAAAGACTCGGTGTTTCCAAATAAAATAATAATTTACTTTACTTGTCTTTTAAATAAAGTTATTTATAACTTCTCCCTGTTCTAATTAAATTACGTAACCATGATGCAATAATAATTAATTTCAACACTTTTCAGCAGATAAAAATTAAAAATACTGTTTTTATTTGGTTGACCACGTTGTGTGTCAAGCAGACATAATTCTGTGTCTGACTAACGATCGATTTTTTAAAGTTGTTGATGAACGTTTTCTGTCCTACCGAACCCAAAGCGGTACCTGTAAATTCTAACCGTCTAATTGCGAAAGAATTGCTAGAATTTAGTTAAACATTACATGTTTAAAACGGTTAAAACTGTTAATTTTATCCTTTATTGTCTACTACAGAAAAGACAAAGGACAATATTACAATAAAACACTTATCACGTCGTGGTAGTTAAAAATAAGTTTAACTAATGTACTTCAAGTTTTAAACCGTTAACAGCGTTTAATGTATACGTATACTCGCGTAAACTACAGTGCTCAAATAACTAAATTTACTGTTGACGACATAATAAAACTAATCCATTTTACTATCATTAATTATTGGAAATCTGCGGATGCTCACTTAGTTTTTCAAAGCATTAATAATTAATAAAACCGAAATGATAACTTAGCGCAGATATCAAACTTTGCTCATTAAATCATTAATGATTAATGAAAACAAACCTTCAAGTTATTTAACAGAAAACACTGGAGTACAAGTTTAAATGGAAGTTATGCACATACAGATTAAGAGAACATGTAGAATATATTAGATATAGTCTGTCTATTATAGGACGATCTGTTTGACATTTCTCACGTCATACGGACGATGAGATTAGTAAATGTGACCATGAGAAGATATATACGATAGAAACGATAGTACATTTTTTTATAGTAGAGGAAGACACTTCACAGTCCCAGGATCTCTAGCGCTTAACAAAATGTTAGGCAAGACATTAGGTTAGGACTTTATGTTGTGATTTTAATACCAGCAGCGTTTCAAAGTTCAAGCGGTTACAGAGTCTCCGGTAAAAAAGTAAAAAATCACACAAATCTATACTAATATTACAAAGTTGAAATATTTTTTTTGTTCGATCGCGCTAATCTAAGGAACAACGGCTTGAAATTTAAAAAAACATATTTTTGTGTTGGTTTGGCCAATTATCTAGGAAGGCTGTGCCGAATAGAAACGAACAAACAGTAAAATGGGAAAATTATTCATTTTAAAGGCTTCGATTGCGTAAGCTGCAAATAAAATTCAAGAAACCAAAAAGTTATGTAACTATGAAAAAAATATGTTTAAATCTGTTAACTAGCAAGAACGATGTCGTGGGTAACATTTAAAATTTATTAAGCTGTGGAGGTTGTTTGAAAATAAATAATATGATTCCCAAAATAACTATTCCACGCGGACGAA